ATAATAACAACAACAAAAATAATACAATAATAATAATAAAAATAATACAACAATATTATTGTATTAATGTTATTATTATTATTAGTAGTAGTAGTAGTAGTAGTAGAATTGTTGTGTTGTTATTATTGTTGTATTGTTGTTAATAATAATAATAATAATAATAATAATAATACAATAATAAAAATAATACAACAAAATTATTGTATTATTATTATTATTATTATTGATGTTGTTGTGTTGATGTTGTTGTATTATTGTTATTATTATTGATATAATATATATAATAATAATAATATAATAATGATAATTGATATAATAATACAATAATAATAATAATAAAAATAATACAACAATAATAATAATATATTATTATTATTGTATTATTATTATTGTTGTATTATTGTTATTGTTGTGGTATTCATATTCATATTATTATTATTATTATTATTGTTGTTGTTGTTGTTGTATTGTTGTATTATTATTATTCAATTCAATTCAATTCAGCTTTATTTGTATAGCGCTTTTACAATGTAGATTGTGTCAAAGCAGCTTCACATAAATGGTCATAGTAACTGGAACAGTGTGGTTCAGTAACTGGAACAGTGTGGTTCAGTAACTGGATCAGGGTAGTTCAGTTTTTAGTGTTTAAGTTCAGTTCAGTTCAGTTTAGCTCAGTTCAGTGTGATTTAATCATTACTGAGAGTTCAAACACTGAAGAGCCAATTCATCGATGCGTAGCTCTACCAATCCTGAACCATGCGAGGCAGTGGCGACAGCGGAGAGGGAAAAAAAACTTCACCTGATGGGAGTGAAGAAAAAAAACCTTGAGAGAACCAGACTCAGTTGGGCACGACCATTTTAATTTCTCCGCTGGCCAAAAGTCTTGTGCAGAGCTTCAATCGCCGTGGTTTAGGCTGGAAGATGGCCTCAGCGAAGACTCGTCTATTATTGTTGTTGTTGTTATTGTTGTTGAAAACACCAGAGTTTTTCAGCTTTCTTTGATTAACAGAAAGTTAGAAATCTTTTGTCATCATAAATGCATTTAATATAATTGTTAATAAAAGTAATAATATCCATTATTTCTTTACTAAAAAAAAAAAACATCTCCAAGTTTTTGAATAGTGCAGTGTATAATGTTATAAAAGCTTATTATTTCAGATAAATCATTAAATAATCCTTAAAACAAATTTACTCAACTGTAACAAATATTATTATTATTATTATTAACAACAATAATAGTAGTAATAATAATCATAATAAACATAGCTTGAGCAGCAATTTAGCATATTAGAATGATTTCTGAAGGATCAAGTGACTGGAGTAACTGGTAAAAAAATCTGCTTTTAATCAACAGGAATAAACAATTTTCAATGTATTTAAACAGTGAAATTAAGTAGTAAATATATTTCATAATCCTAATGTTTTTGCTCAACTTGAGATCAAATGAGCTCAGTCAGTAAAACAGGCACTTTTATGACCACATTACTGCTGAAGTGCTGTTTGTACAGTATAGATTGAGGAAGTTGCATGAGCTCCGAAATTCAGCTGGAAATATTTGGTTTTAAGGGGATTCACTGACTGCTGAACTACTGATGTTCCTCATAACCCAATTGTGGATATTCTACCACTGGAAAAAGATCAGTAATGAAATGTGGAAGTTTTTCCACTTTTGTCTTAAGTGAATTAATAAAGTAACAAACAAAAATTCCATGAGTTCACTTACTGAACACACACAATGACACCGGCCACTTTATTAGGTACACCTGTCCGAGTGCTCGCAAATTTTTAATCAGCCAATCACAAGGCAGCAGCTTAATGCATTTAGGCATGTAGACATGATCAAGAGGATCTGCTGCAGTTCACACCAAGCATCAGAATGGGGAAGAAAGAGGATTTAAGAGACTTTGAACGTGGCATGGTTGTTGCTGCCAGACGGGCTGCTCTGAGTATTTAAGAAACTGCTGATCACCTGGGATTTTCACGCACAACCATCTCTCGGGTTTAGAGAGGATAAAGAGGAAATATCCAGTGAGCGGCAGTTCTGTGGGCGCAAATGCCTTGTTGATGAGGTCAGAGGAGAATGGCCAGACTGGTTTCAGCTGATAGAAAGGCAACAGTAACTCAAATAAGCACTCGATACAACCGAGCTCTGCAGAAGAGCATCTCTGAACACACAACACGTCCAACCTTGAGGCGGATGGGCTACAGCAGCAGAAGAGCACACCGGGTGCCGCTCCTGTCAGCTAAGAACAGGAAACTGAGGCTACAATTCACACAGACTCACCAAAACTGGACAATAGAAGATTGGAGAAACGTTGCTGCTCTGATGAGTCTCCATTTCTGCTGACACATTCAGATGCTCGGCTCACAATTTGGCCTCAACAACATGAAAGCATGGATCATCCTGCCTTGTATCAGCGGTTCAGGCTGGTGGTGGTGGTGTAATGGTGTAGGGAGATTTTCTTGGCACACTTTGGGTTCATTAGTACCAATTGAGCATCAACGCCACAGCCTACCTGAGTGTTTTGATGGCTACTTCCAGCAGGATAACGCAGCATGTCATAAAGCTCAATCATCTCAGACTGGTTTCTTGAACATGACGATGAGTTCACTGTACTCAAATGGCCTCCACAGTCACCAGAGCTCAATCCAATAGAGCAGCTTTGGGATGTGGTGGAACGGGAGATTGGCATCATGGATGTGCAGCCGACAAATCTGCAGCAACTGTGTGATGCTATCATGACAATATGGAGCAAAACCTCTAAGGAATATTTCCAGTAGCTTGTTGAATCTCTGACATGAAGGATTAAAGCAGATCTGAAGGCAAAAGGGGTCCAACCCGATATATATATATATATATATATATATATATATATATATATATATATATATATATATATATATATATATATATACTCGTTGTAGAATTGTGAGTATATTTCCAGTTTTACTGTACTTTTCCACAACTGGAATGAAATTCAACAAATGTTTAACTTACAGTAATCAGAATCCAATCCAACTCGATAACAGAGTTGACATTTTCCAGCATTTTGTGCAAACCAGACTCCACATGGTGTCTAAAACACAAATTAATGCATTTTCATCATATTGTTTTTGAAAAGTGAATGAGAAAGAAATTCACACAAAAGATGAAACTTTCATGTAATTATTTAATGATTATTTTATGTACATCATAATTTGTTTTTCCTGTAAATAAATACACTATTAAAACAAAATAACGTTCGCTTATGTGTTTAACAAAATAATAAACAATTTATAAGAGTTTTGATCCTTAATGGTTTATCAGTTATGAATAAAATCCATTTCCCTGCGCTTTTATTTTTAATGTATTTATGTTGTTTTTATTTTACCTCATTTTCTATTATAATATAATAAATAAAACATCTTAACAATAAATGAACAAAATAAGCAAGTTATAATAATTTATAGGAGTCTTTTTTCGTCATAACAAAATATCAGAAAGGTTAAAAAAAGGGAAAACAATAACTAAAATAACCTTATCATATAGGAAACAAGCAACAAAGTTTCTCCATTGTAGTTTCATCTGAGCATAGTTGTTTAAATTGTGTTAGAATAAAAAGTAAAGTTGTGTTTTCTATGTTTATGGCTTTCAATAAAACATGCCATCTTAGAATTTTGCAATATCCCGCCATTTCGTCAACAATGCGAACAGCGCATGCGCGCGTGGAGGAACGCCGTCAGAGTTCGCGCCATTTGACGACTTGGTAAGTTGTTGTTTCTTGCAATGTAGCGTTACAAGTTTTCCGATCGATTTATTTGCCGCTGTAAGTTAACAACTAAAAAAATTCATCTTCAAACGTATTTATAGCCTTAAACAATCGTGTAAACGTCGTGTAAAATGTATATTATTGTCTGTGCCATCACAAACACGCTAATGACAGGTCACTATAACAATACACGTTATTTTGCAGCACATGAGGTCTGAAGTGATCAATAATCTGTGTTTTAATAACCCTGCAGAGATCTACAGGCCTTAAACATGTAACGCACAGGTGAGAGACTGTAAAAAAACGTTGTTCAGGGTCAATTAAACCTGTGCTGTTTTTAGTTTTATATGGGCTTGTATTCTTATATTTTTCTACATGTACGTAGTTTTATGTCTTTTGCAAACCAGGATGTTTGGTGCTTGTTTCCTGTTAACCAAAGCCTAATCTACGTCATATTATTGCAAAAGCTGTTTGGCACACAGGTGACCACATAAACAACCATTGCAATCGTTTTTTTTAAGAAATCAAAGTGGTTGTTTTACATTATGATTTATTTTATTTTCAGATCAGTTTTTAAAATATGACCTTAAATATTCACTAATTCATCACAGTGTTCATTTTATCCTCCCCAAAATAATGCAGTTAAAAGCGTAATGTAATATGTTTTGAATATATACATGTGATCAGATCTATATGTTATTCATATAATGTAATTTTAAATAAATATATGACATTTACTTTTATTCAAAAATGTTTTTATATTTATTAAATTATTATTAGTATTATATTATTATTATTATTATTGCATGTTGTTTTTGTTATATTATTTACATTATTATCCAGTCCTATTAGGTGCACATGAGCTCAAAACTTTGCATTTTGGGGAAATTTGAATAATTGATTATTATATTTAAAAAAAAAAGAGTAATGCTTTATTTAATTATTTATTTTTAGTTTTCTCTCATAGTGCACACCGTGTTGTTGATATTCTGCCTCCTCGTTTTCTCATATATTGAAAAATATTGTGCTTTAATGGTTACACAGGTCGCCCTGCCATTAATCAGAGCGCTCACTTAAGAAAGTGTTTGCACACCCTAAAGGGGTTTGCCTCAATAATAATAAAAAAACCTGTTTGACATGACGATATCCTGAGCCGTCAGACATCCGCTGTTGTAAACCACGTCTACTTCCTCATCAAGGAATTTCCCGCTTCAACAGGATCATATAAAACACGAGCACGCTTTCACAGCCAGTCATTCAACACACACTTTCACATGAGAAAGCAGAGGAACTTAACCAGCTCTGGTATGTGGAGTGCAGATTACATGCATTTTACTATTATTATTATTATCAGTTATATTCATCATTATTATTATTTAGTCATTTCTGCTTCATTTTTATAGAAATGATGGCATGCGGGCAATATGAAGTCACCATAGCTCCAAAAAAGTGAGTATTAATGCCGTTTTATATATATATATAATTCATAATATTTGCATATTTGGTCTAAAAAGCTGATATTTTGCAGTTTGTGGGAGACAGACAGTGCTGTTTATTCAGATTCTGATGAGATGGACTGTTCAGATCCGCTTGCAATGGTGAGTTATTTTACGTTTTATAAATGCTTTCTGTTTATACAATGTTTTTTCGAATGTAAGCAATAATTATGAGTGTGTTTGTGAGCGTGGAGCACTTAATCAATGCTAATTTACTTTGGTAAAATTTTAGTAATATCTAAAAAATAAATTTAATTTCATTGTATTCCAAAAAAATCTTTTGAATATTAGGTAAAATCATGTTTCATGAACACATCTTGTCAATTTCCTTCTTTCAATTTATTAAAACATAATTTGTGATTAGCGATATGCATTGCTTATGACTTAACTTGCACAACTTTAGGTTTTTTTAATAGTTACTTTTATTTTTTTGTTTTTAATATTTACAATATTTATTTAGTTGAATATCAGCTAAATATTGTCCTTATAATACCATACATCAATGTAAAGTTTATTTATCTTTCAGATCATGTATAAATATCAATTTCCAAAAATGTACCCTTGTGACTGATTTTGTGCTCCGGAAGTCACACTGATTCCTGTAAGATCATGTGATAGTGAAGACTGGAGTTATGATGCTGAAAATTCAGCCTTTCAGCACAGAAATAAATTATATTTTGCAGTATATTAACCATAAAAACAGCTAATTTAAATAGTAAAAATATATCAAAATAATCACTGTATTTTTAATCAAATGACCAACATTGCTAAGCTAAAAAACTAGACATCAAATTAAATTGTTTATTTAAAGGGAATTTAAATTTCCTTATTTACTCACACTCAAGTGGTTGTAAGCTTTTATGAGTTTTTTTTCTTCTGTTGCACACAAAAGAAGATATTTAGAAGAATGTTGGAACAAAAATACTGAGAAAATCAATGTTTATTTTTTCATGCATTCATCTCTATATCTAAACTCAAACAGGTTGGTTAAAGTTAGTCAATGAATGTGTTTCCATCCAAAGATGTGAATTAGACCAATGTGCAAAACTGGAATATGGCATAAAACTTTAATGAATATAGCAGCGTTTCCACTCAAAATGAAAGGGAAGAAACTCCTCAGTTCCTTCTAAACTGTGACCGATATTGCTGAGAGAAGTGTAGTTGGGATTTGCCACTGTGGTGTTTGCGCCTCAGAAGAGGAAACGCAGTGAACACAGTGAATGTGAACGCAGACAGATGCTCAAGACAGTTCTGGAGCTAATAATATTAATAATAATAATAATAGAATAATAATACTAAAACACTGTGAAGATGGACTGACAGAGGACTGAGGGCTTTTACTATCAGCACAACGACATTTCACATCTGCACCGATGGAGAGCTGGAAACCAACATTAATGACACAAAGACCCTCACACACACATTAATATCTGTTAAATCATCTGGCAAAAACGAAACCACATCACACACACCGATGAAGAGTTTCCTCACTGCATCTGTTTACAGCAGAGTTTATGTGCATCTATTATTATTGTCCTCTAATGTTTATATGCAATGCAATATTCTAAAATGTGCATATATATATATATAAACATGTCTAACGCTGTCATTTCCCTGCAGAGCTACAGATGCGACATGCATGAGGGCATCAGGCTGGAGATGTGGACTTCGCAGCACAAAATGAAGCAGTTGGTGAACGTCATCATCGCCCTGAACAGAATGAAGCACATCAAACCCCAATCCACAGAGTTTGGAGAAAAAGAGGTGCTGGACATGCTCATGGCGAACGTCATCCAAGGTACCTACTACCAGGACTGCACTATACACTGAAATATTATTGCTATTGAGAGTAATAGCACAGGGTGTCTGTGTGCTTGCTGAAAAAATAAATCAGATTAGAATAAAATAAGGCCCTTAAAGTCTGCATGAACCAGAAGCTAAGACCTTTTTTCGCATTGTGATGCAGTTCCTTGAGAAACGCAATATTAAAGGAGTTAACAGTGGGCGTGGCTTGTTTTTTTTTTTCTACTGCGAGCTGATTGGATGTATAAATTAGGTGCTTCATTCCGAAAGATGGGGGAACGAGAGTTATTACAACCTAACAGACTCCTCTTGCTCACCTTTTCTATTTGTTGTCAATACTGACAGCTGGAGGGGGCGTGGTTAAGTATGTTAGCCACGCCCAATACCTCAGACAGACCTAATCTGAGGATTTAATCGAAAACAAACAAGATGTGCCTTTTCAGATTTCACACTAGTAGGGCACACAATTTTTTTAATGACATGCACAAATTAATTGTTCACTACTAACCTAGCAATGTGAGCTAACACAATCAATATGGCAGGTTTTTCATGTGTACTTTAAGCTATTTGCTATTTGCGCCCCCTGCTGGAAGAAAGAGAGAGTTAGCATTTATTATGGATATGAAGGGTTTTAGTAAGGCTAGATGGTATATATCATTCCTGCAGAATCAAATGTGCATCGTAAAATAATATTTAATAATTTGCATACCGCGAAAATGTAAATAGGTGGGTGTGGCTGAGCATGCGTGAGGCTGAGAAAGATGATCCATAGCAGACTGGCAGTGTTGTAAATTCTGTATATATTCAACAAGAAGTGATCACATCCTTTTAATATTTATTAAAGAAGTGTAATTGCTTAAATTTTGAGATTGTTGTTTCCTTAAAGTGTTTAAATCTAAATATTTAAGGTTTATTTTCCTGCTCCTCACTTGGTATATGTTTGATATCTGTGAGAAGATGTTACTTGAGAATTGTTTATAATAATATTAAGGTCTGTCGACATAAAACTGTGACATACAGTGGAGTTTGTCGTTCATCAAACGTCTAATATATTTATAAGGTTAAAAATAAAATACAAAATAATTCAAATCTGCATCTTAAAAAAATACAAAATTAAATTCAAAGTGAAATCAAGACTATTTATTCCCCCATTGGCTGATTATTTAGCTTGTTTTAAGGAAAAACTCACTTCCTTTAGACTTAAAACAAGACAATCTTATTCACTAGTCTAGAAAGTGCTTTTTGGTATAAGAATTGTCAGATATTTGGACTAGAAACAAGTAGGAAAAGTCTCACACAATTTAAAATGCAGTCATGATGACTTTTGTGGAGAGAAAAAATAAGAGTATAAAGCATTTTGAAATGAACGTATGATCACTAATGTGTGTTTTCCTCCACAGAGCGTGAAGTGAACGTGGTGGATTCAGTGCCGTCTTACAATAAAACCAAAAACGTCTTGCAATGCACGATTTGCGATCAGTATAAGAAGTCTCTGGTGCTCAGTGGCGGATCTCCACATTTGCAGGCCGTCACACTGAGAGCCGGAAGCAGCGACTTGAAAGGTAAGCATCAGCATTTACACACCTGTGGGTTTATTTTACTGTAGAATTTAATTCAATTCAATATTTAAAACAAAAAGCATGATGTACATCACACTAGAGGCGTGTGGTAGAGTGTGACCAACACATGACTCTCCTTCAGAAATCTCAGCTTTTCTCCTGAATTTCCCCTGTTTTCACTTCCTCCAGTGCGCTTCAGCATGTCCACGTATGCGTCGCCCAGTGCTCCGGCTACTTCTGCTCAGCCTGTGTGTTTGGGAATCTCCAAAAGTAACCTGTACCTGGCCTGCAGCCCCGCCGAAGGCTCCGCTCCACATCTCGTACTCAAGGTTTGTGCTCCATGATTATTATTATTATTATTATTATTATTAATATTATTATTAGTATTAGTATTATTCTATTAAAGTGCTGTTTTTAACAAAGCAAGAACATTTTTCACTCTATTTCCTATTTATCTTTTCATCTGGAGAAAGTCTTAGATTTTCTGGAGCATAAATAAAAGAAAAGTAAAAACTGTTGTGGTCAATATTATTCACCCCCTTAGGAAAATACTTGTCTTGATTATCTACCGAACAAAACTCTGTCGTTCAATTTCTCCTAATAAACCTAGTTAAGCCTTTAAATGTCACTTTTAGCTGAATACTAGTGAGCAATTGCAGCGTGATTGATGTGACGTTTGCATTAAAAAATCCAAACATAAATTTACATAGACAGTAGATGTTAACATTGTTAAAACATCTGTTTATATTTCCCAGAACAACTGACCACAGAGTTATACGAGCAGAAAAAGATCAATCTGTAAACATGTTTCATTGTTTAAATGAGGAAAATAAGCATGCGTTATGGATGTGAAAAAGTAGAGTTTGCAGTATGCAACATGCTTTGTAGAAATTCTATAAATTAAACAGCACAACCCAAAATAAACAATGCTAATCAAAAGGATAAAAGACATTTCTCTATAGAGCAAAAATAATTGACTTATTTTACTTGACATTTGTGCATTTATGAGGGAAAAAGTGTTGTTATGGATGTGACGTCTCTCCGTTATGGATGTGAAATTGACACTTGTGTGACTTTGGTAAATCAAACATAATTGTCTGAAAACAGAGACATTTTTGAGAATTTGTAAAGTATGTAAAATACAAGCTCACATTAAAAAAAGTAGAAAACGATTTCCATATTTTAGTGAAAGCCTCATTTTTTTTAATGGCAAGGTTGACATTTGCATGGATTTGCTCTAGTATCTTGAAAAGTATTTAGTATAATATTATGTGCTGTCATCATGGCAAAGAGAAAAGAAAAAAATAGTAAAAAAAAAAAAAAGTTTTGTTTCCAGCCAAACTTTGTTACTTTTGACTTTTTTTAATTGTCATATTTCATTATTTGAGCCTGTTTTTAATGACTTTAAAATAATAATGTACAGGATAATAAATAATCAATTATTATACATTACACGCACAAAAAAAGGAAGAATCATGAACTAATAGTTTCTGCACTTTAAATAAACACAGATGCACTTTAATAGTTAGAAACTAAACTTTTTAAAATTAATGGTTCTTATTCATATGTTTTTTTAACACTGTTTTTATTGATTTTAGTAGCTTTTAAGATGTACAACAGAAATTAAGTTCAAACATACAAAATAATATTGCATGGTAATAACATGCATGATAATAAATAAAAAGTACAAAAATATAAAAAAATAATAAATAAATAAATATTAATATGTATTTTAAACCGTTTAAAATAAATGTATTTTTGTTTTTATTTTATATAAAGCACTTTAAATTAGTATAATTATATATATATATATATATATATATATATATATATATATATATATATATATATATATATATATATATATATATATATATATATATATACACACACACACACAGTTGAATTATTTGCCCTCCTGCATATATTTTGCCCCAAATTCTGTTTAACAGAAAGAAGATTTTAAAAGTTTTCTAATCATAATAGTTGTAATAACTCAATTCTAATAATGATGCCATGATGACAGTAAATAATATTAGAGTAGATATTCTTAAAGACACTAGTGTTCAGCTTAAAGTGACATGTAAAGGCTTCACTAGGGTAATTAGGGTAAAGTTAGGGTAATTAGGCAAGTCATTGTATAACAGTGGTTTGTTCTGGACAATCCAACACTAATATTGCTGAAGGGGCCAATAATATTGAGCTTAAAATAGCTTTAAAACTATTAAAAACTGCTTTTATTCAAGCCGAAATAAAACAAATTAAACTTTCTCCAGAAGAACAAGTAATATAGGAAACACTGTGAACATTTCCTGAATCTGTTCAACATCATTTGGAGGAAATATTAGAAATAATTAACAGAAGGGAGAATAATTCAGACTTCAGCTGTACATGCATTAATTTCCAAATAAATGCATTAATTAAGCCTGTGTTTTGCTGACTTTAGGAGATCAGCGGGTCTCTGGAGACCATTAAAGCTGGAGATCCAAACGGATACGACCAGCTGCTGTTCTTCAGGAAGGAGACCGGCAGCTCCATAAACACCTTCGAGTCCGTCAAATGTCCCGGTTGGTTTATCAGCACCGCGTATGAAGATTCGCAGATGGTGGAGATGGACAGGAAAGACACCGAGCGCATCATTAACTTCGAGCTGCAGGATAAAGTGCGCATCTAGAGTCTCAAAACTGCTGTGCTTCCATCCAAAGACGAGAACTACAATCAGCACAACAACAATTCAGATCTGCAGCAATGGAGAGCTGCAGACCAACACTACTGACGCAAACACCCTCACACACACACATTTATATCTGATCAGCAGCTATCAGAAACTAAATCACAGCACACACACTGATGCACATCTTGGCGTTACAATTAAGCATTTTTTTAATGCAATAATCCAAGATGTGCATATAAATAGATGGAAGCACGGCTATTCAGAGATGGTTATTAATTATGATTTAAAGAGAGAGTATGTACCATGTACAGCTTACAGGATGATGAGTTCAGCTCAAGACTGAATTATTTGCAAATATTCCCCAAGTGCTGCTTATTCTTGGATGCATTTTGAGCAATATTAGAGTTAATAACTCGTTTATTTTTGTCTTTGTCGTAATATTTTACTAATTATTTTATTACGTTTATTTATTAAGGGGTTATTATTGACCACAGCGGTTTTAACTTATGAATATATTTAATTTTTATTATTTTAATTGTTTGATCTGAAGGAAATATTCATTTCTCCTGTGTGAAAATATACTGACAACTGTTAAACAGCGCTTGGGAAATATGTTAATTTTAATATATTTTCAGCTGTAAGGGTCTGTCAGATCCTGCATTTATTTTTATTTTTATACTATTTTTGGTAATGGTAAATTCACATTGAATACGTCAGGTATGCTTCTCTGTTTTGTACTTATATTTAATATTTATTTCAATCATGTTTTAAATCAGTTGTATTGTTTTCTGCAGTGATTTCTTTGTTATTTAATAAATATTTAACTATATATATTACATGGGGTTGTGTTGTGGATTAACCCTCATAATGCATTCAAAATCTATATATATATATACAGTTAAAGTCAGAATTATTAGCCCCCCAGTTTAACGGAGAGCAGATTTCTTAAACATATTTCTAATCATAACAGTGTTAATAACTCATCTCTAATAACTGATTTATTTTCTCTCTGTCATGATGACAGTAAATAATTTTAGACTATATAATATTTACTAGACTAATATTTTACTACAGCTTAAAGTGACATGTAAAGGCTTAACTAGGTTAATTAGGTTAACTAGGCAGGTTAGGGTGATTAGGTATGTTATTGTATAACAGTGGTTTGTTCTGCAGACTGTTGGGAAAAAATATAGCTTAAAGGAGCTAATAATATTGTCCCTAAAATGGTATTCAAAAAATTTAGAACTACTTTTATTCTAGCCGAAATAAAACAAATAAGACTTTCTCCAGAAGAAAAAAATATTATCAGACATATTGTGAAAATTTCCTTGCTCTGTGAAACGTCATTTGGAAAATATGTAAAAAAGAAGAAAAAAATTTGAAGGGGGCAATAATTCTGACTTGTATATAATTAATTAATTCTTTCATTCATTTTCCTTAAGCTTAGTCCCTTTATTTATCAGGGGTTGCCACAGCGGAATGAATCGCCAACTATTCCAGCATATGTTTTACGCAGCAGATACCCTTTCAGCTGCAACCCAGTACTGGAAAACACCCACACACACACACTCATACACTACGGCCAATTTATTTAATCAATTTCCCTTGGACTGTGGGGGAAACCCACACCAACACAGGAAGAACATGCAAGCTCCACACAGAAACGCCAACTGATCCAGCCGGGACTCAAACCAGCAACCTTCTTGCTGTGAGGCCACAGTGCTAACCACTAAGCCACCATGTCATCCCATATACTTTTTTATTCATAATTTACCAGTACTCTTCAAATAAAACCGTACTGTATATATGATTATTCTCATTACTTTTAAAGTTTATAACACATTTGCTTAAAAAATCCATATTTACTCACATGTAATGCTTGGTGAACACTATAGTCATTTTGAGCTAAAGTAAAGTATGAAACATTTATTATAAAGTTACCGTGGTGCTTTTGACATGTGGGGCATGAGAGACTTGTTTACAGTAATATTATTCCTTTAAAAATGGGGGATAAGTTTTGCCATCTTTTAAACATAATTTGAACATATTTTAATTAATTATCAATATCCTGTGCTGTATTATTTGGTCTATATTTGTTTATAGTTCTGGAGATTTATAAAACACACGAGCGCCGCCTTGTGTCAGAACACGTCACTACATATAATGCGGGGAGTTTGGGAGATTTGATTTTGGTTTTACTTATTGAAATTAAGCAGTAAATTGTGTCTTATCAACGTCTACGCCTGCCCCAAATCAAAACCTACATCTAGTAGTAATGTAAAATCATTAATTATTATCATACAGCGCGCATGTGCAGTAGCCTCGCAGGTGTAATTGGAAAGTAGGAGACTTTTATTAAGAGCAATGCAAAAATAGTCATAGTACAACACAAAGGCGAAAAACAAAACGGGTACGTTAATAAAACATCACATTTTAAAGGAAGAGATCACACAATTTACAAATTTAAGTAGTTTTAAAAGCCTTTTGTATTTGAAATCTCAAATAAGATAGAAAATATTTATAATTTCTGGTTTGTTGTAAGTTTACATTTGTGTATAGAACTACACATTCACAGAACCAATTTATATTTTAAAACATTTTGATTGACAATTATAATTATTAAAACTAATATATTAATGTAATCATTTATTAATATTATTTTTAAATCAATAATAATATATTAATGATTATACAGTTTTAAACACTCGTCTTTATTTTGCCGCCTTTTGTTTTTCAAATCTGTAACTGTCAAATTCGCTCGTTACTGGTTCACTATACCTGTAACTGGCGTTCAACCGTCGTAGTCATCTGCACAAACTGTCAACACTCTCTCAACAGGTAAATTAATAATCTCTTAATATCTCCATCATTTGAACTTTTTTTATGAAAGTAATTCAGTAGCAATACTCGAGAGCTTGCAAATGTAAATGTGAGCACTTGTGATAAGAATATTTGTATGTGTAGGTTGAAATGTACACTTACAGCTCTGATGTGAACAGCTGAAATCCTCGATTTGCACACACACACAACAATCCACACACTTGTGTTTTGAATTGGAAGTTGCAGATTAATAGTTGTGTATTTGTAAAATGTCATTCACAAATACAAAGTGACAGACACACGTGTGCACGGCAAATTTGACTGCATCTTCGCTCTACAACCACAGGTCGGCACTCACAACCTCTCAGATTCGTCAGTACAACTACAAATCTCCCGCGCTCTGACTTTTGCTACACATCTCCCGCGATCTCTGTAGCAGAACTCATCTGTGCACTCACAGATGCAGAGGCGTGAGCAGCGCGGGGCGGGGGAGGGGCGGGGCTGGTGTAAAGCTGTTTCATTGGCTGAAGCCTGACCAATGAACAATGCCAGCAGCCAACAGGACTGAGGTGCAAAATAATAATTTCCCACGATTATTTCATTAGTTAGGGTTTATTTAAACTCTTTTCTGAAAAGATTTTTGTTAAATATCATTAACTCTACTGTAATGTACATACCAGTAAAAGAGCAGCAAAGCCAGTTTATTGGCTACAGCCAGCCAATGAGATGGGGCGTTTCTGTTTGTCAGCACACAGGGCAGCTCACGTTGTTGGAGGCCTCGAGCAATCAGAGGGTAAGTTATGATTTTTAATAATTATCTTTATGTTCAATACTGTTATCTAAGCTAAGGACTGTGCTGGGTGCTTCTCTTGTTTGTTTATTTATATAAGAAAACAGTTATGAGTTATCTAGGAGCTGCTTTCAATCATGTTATATGGTTCTAAAGATACGATTCAACCCACATGAAATAAGTTGTAATAGTATTTATAGCAAATAATAGTACGTTTTTGAACCATACTAACTATAATAAACTGTATTATACTGTATATATTGCAGTATCTACAACTTTGTTAATGAATGCAACAGCACACTGTAGTATTAACTAGCATAAACTTTAATAAATTGAAGTATATTTACACACACACACACACACACATTAATAGCAATTAAAAATAACACTAGGCGTTTCAGTTTCTTACAGATCATACCGGTTTTGGTTATTATAACCTGCATCATGTCTATCTATCCATCTATCTATTTACATGTTTGTGTACAGTGTGTCCTTTATATCACTTTTTTAATTATGAACGTTACTAACTATAGGTTATTTCTCAGTTTCTTGTAAGGATGGAGTGACAGGAGAGATCAGCATGTTTCAAGTCGATGAGGAACTCAGAGAAGCTGCATAGCTTGAATAGGATGTTATTTATGCTAAAGATGACATGATGATCCAGCTCATCTACAAACACTTCAAAAGGATTCAGATCGTTCAAGAGGAAGCCGACTTAATTTTCTCTTTTTACCTGCCAAGATGACTACAGATTTGAACAAAACACACACTCACCCACACACACAACTTTTATTTTGATAATTGTTTAATGTAGTATTTTTACACTTTACTGTAAGGTAGGGGTGTCAAACTCAGTTCCTGAAGGCCCGTAACCCTGCACGTTTTTAGTTGCAACCCTTCTTCAACACACTTAAGTGAAAGTTTCAAACAAACCTGAAGGACTCAATTAGTTTGATCAGGTGTGTTTAATTAGGGTTAGAACTAAACTTTGCAAAGCTGCAGCCCTCCAGGAACTGAGTTTGACACCTGTTCTGTAAGGGAATGTAATTTGTCAAATAAAATTTACAGTCCAAATAAGTGCAGTGCAAATGTCTAGTTACTTGTATTGAAATATTTCAGGGTTTTTCCTTGTTCATAATGATATGGAGGTGGTAAATCCAACTTCATCATTACCCATCAAATGTTATCTCCTCTTTAATACTTTGATCAAGCCTTAACTAATGGTCAGAAAGCAAACCATTGTGTAAAGCTGGTTGATGCTCGCTGTAATAGAGAGAGATGATGACTGTTCAGCTTATGTTGCTTAACCCTGCAGATGAGATGCTCAAAGTGGACCCTCAGCCGAGCGATGGACACTGTCTCCCTCACCTAGTTGCTCTTCCTTTGAACACACATATCATGTTGAAGGATGCAAGTTGTTGACCTAAATCAGATGTAATGCATGTAGATGTAAAAATTAGAAAGAAATGAAACTGCTTTAAAATGTATTAGGTTTTACATATAAATACGTGTTCTTAACAGATTTGTTTCAACTTGATATTTGCATAATAAATGGCATTAGAATGTTTAGTTTTAAACAGATAGCTATATTTCAAAAAGTTCATGCTAGTTAATACTACAGTGTGCTGTTGCATTCATTAACAAAGTTGTAGATACTGCAATATATACAGTATAATACAGTTTATTATAGTTAGTATGGTTCAAAAACGTAATATTGTTTACTATAAATGCTATTACAACTTCTTATTTCATGTGGGTTGAATCGTATCTTTAGAACCATATAACATGATTGAAAGCAGCTCCTAGATAACTCATAACTGTTTTCTTATATAAGAAACAAACAAGAGAAGCACCCAGCACAGTCCTTAGCTTAGCTAACAGTATTGAACATATAGATAATTATTAAAAATCATAACTTACCCTCTGATTGCTCGAGGCCTCCAACAACGTGAGCTGCCCTGTGTGCTGACAAACAGAAACGCCCCATCTCATTGGCTGGCTCTAGCCAATAAACTGGCTTTGCTGCTCTTTTACTGGTATGTACATTTCCACAGAATTTATTATTTTTAACAAGAATCTCTTCAGAAAAGAGTTTAAATAAACCCTAAATAATAAAATAATCGTGGGAAATGATTATTTTGCACCTCAGTCCTGTTGGCTGCTGGCATTGTTCATTGGTCAGGCTTCAGCCAATCAAACAGCTTTACACCAGCCCCGCCCCTCCC